ATGAACGTAAGCAGTCTCCCTCCACTTGGATATCAAGCAAGTATCACAAACTTAGTACATCCACAGCAGACTGTCTGAAAACACCGTGACAAAGTGGCTCCTCTCAGCGCTATTGCCATCTTAATGGCAATTCCATTCTCTCAGCTGCTCAGGCCAAAGATGTTCAAATAATCCTTGACTCTTCTTTTCCCTTCCAATCTATCAGAAATTCTATTGGCTTTCCTTCAAAAATATCCCAAACCAGACTCTCTCTCACTACCACTGAGATCTAAGCCAGCATTATCTCTCACCTGGATTTGTGCCAAAGTGCCTGCCTCCTCTATCATCTGAAAATTGTCACCAGAGTGATTCTGTTAGCATGTTAAGTCAGATTATGTCATTTATATGTTCGAATTCCTCCAAAGGCTAGTCATCTCATTCAGAGTAAAAACCACATTCCTAATTGTGACCCATGAGGCTCTATTCAATCTGTATCTTCCCACTTCACACCTCTCCCCCTAATATACACCCTTGCCTCCTATTACTCATCTTCCAGCTCACTCTTCTCCTCCCCAGTATTCAAATATGCCAGGCACATTTGCACCTGAAGTCTTTGCACCTACTGTTCCCTTTGCCTGAAACCTTCTTCCCCTAGATATTCACTGCCTTCCCCACTCACTTACTACAAGTTTTTACACAAATGCCACCTTTACAAAAGGGCCTTCCTGGTCACCTTATCCAAAATTCCAGTCTCTCACCCTTGATACTACCTTCCTCCTTCATTCACCTAACACACTACGTATTTTGCTATTTTATCAATCCCCTACTTCACTAAAATATAAGCCACCAGAAGTGACAAGTTTTTGTTTGTTTGTTGATTACTATATCCTTAGTACTTAAGAGTGTTTGGCACAGAATAAGCACTCAATAAATATTTGTTTAATGAATTGTTTTGTCCTGACAATGCTGTACAAAATACATTAAAAGGAGAAGAGATTATAGTTAAAATACTGTATTCTCAAAAATATTGTTGAGTACTAACTATGATGCAAGGCTTCTAAGGGATATAAAGAAAAAGGCAATGATGAGAGAGAGGCACAATTAAATGTAATATAAAATAAATATTTGCAACTTTCACATGAGAGTTACAGAGAAAGTGTGGTAAGGACTCAAGAGAAAATTCTTCTGGTGGGGAAATATTGCAGTAATCTAGGCATCAGAAGATCAGGCCCTACATTGGACAGAGTGCAGATAAAATGAAAAAGAAGTGTGAGATGTGATGATTATAGTAAGGAAAGAAATAGGTGGTTGGGGGGCTTTGTGACTACTAGAATAGGAAGAGAAATACCACAAAGTGTCAAGCTTAGATAATGACAAGATTGGTGATGCCATTTAAAAAGGGGGGGTTGCTTAAAGTGGATGGAAAAATAATGAGTCCAACATTAAACATGTTTTGTTAAAGGTAACAGCAGACCATAGAAGAGAAAATTTCAGGTCACAGTTCTAGATTCAGAACTGTGACTCAAGGTTTTAAGAAATACAGACTTAGAAGGGTGTCTTTTTTCCCCCACAGAGAGATAACTGAAACTGAAAAAGGTGAGATTTCTAAGCAAAAGACTAAAAGAGAAAGCCATGAGAAATAGGTGAACTTACAGGTCAGGGGAAGGAAAAGGTGCAAATAAACATGACATAGAAAAAGAAGTTAGAGAGTAAGAAATAAAACCGGACCCTTCAAAATATATATAGCTATAAAAATTTATCCAGGTTTTTAAAAATAACCAAACTACCAACCCATTTTCATATTTAATAATCTTGCAAATATGTTCATTTAGGTACTCAAAATCTCCGATGAAATCAAAGCAACATTTCAGCTCAATCTTCATTTAAAATTGTCAGACTGGTGTAATTATTTTCCTGCTAACCTCTGAAACAAAAAACCAGCTTGTGTACTTTCGCACATTTAATTGGATTGGAGTTTGGATGTAAGATAAAGAATGTGACGCAACAGGACTCTGTCACCCAGGAAACCACCTACTAACATAGCAAATTTTGCAGTTTTCTTTACAAACGTAATTCAACACTGTTCAGCATCTGGCCCAGTTACAGATATATAAGGAGTATTCAATATATATTCATTTATAATGGTAGTAAATAAGACAAGTAAGAAAATACAGAAATAGATAAATTTAAAATAACTAGCTCAGGGGACAGAAGGGAAATGGGGAGCTACTGTTTAATAGAGTTTCAGCTTGAAATGAAAAGTTCTGGAGAGGGGCAGTAGTCATGGTTGTTGATAAAATGTGACTATACTCAATGCCAATGAACTGTATACTTAAAATGGTAAATCTTATGTATATTTTATTACAATAAAAGAGTTCAGGCTAGGCTCAGTGGTGGGTCCATAGCTCACACCTGCAATCAAAGCACTCTGGGAGGCTGAGGTGGGAGGATCACTTGAGGTCAGGGGTTCAAGACAAGCCTAATCTAGAGTGAGACCCCATCTCTGCTAAAAATAGAAAAAAAAATTAGCTGGGCATGGTGGTGCCTGCCTGTAGTCCTAGCTACCTGGGAGGCTGAGGCAGGGAGATCGCTTGAGCTCAGGAGCTTGAGGTTGCTGTGAGCTATGATGAAGCCACTGCACTCTAGCCTGGGCAACAAAGTGAAACCCTATCTCCAAAAAAAGAAAAAAAAAAGAGTTCAGTTCACGTTTTATGTTATAAGTAAAATATTAATTCTCCAGAAGCAATGGACATAGCAATATTCTTTTCAATCTAGGTCTCCAAATATATGACTACAATTCAATAATAAGGAGGAAAAGCTTTGATCTAAGATGAAATTGACAAATAGAAATAAAGAATAAGATGGAAAGTTTTTTATTTAAAGTTATTTTTATCAATTATTCTTTCTTAGTTTATATTTTGCTTATTTGGCTTCATATTAAAGCTATAACAAATTTAGCAACAATATATTATAAGCTAACCATCTATTTTTTTGAAAGCTAAATTAAAATGTTTCAAATATGCATAATTTAAATTTTACTCACTACTACTAGTCCCATAAAATATCAGCCATATACATAAGACTTAAAGGTCTTCAACATGCCACAGTTCAAGTTGTAACAAAATAAATTGGAAATGCTTATTTTATCGGGTAGATGGTCAGCTCTCCATGGATTTGATTTTTATCTCTGCCAGGCCTCTTTCTTCTCTGGTCACCATAGAACATATCAGCAGACCTCTCCTACACTGGTGGTCCAAAACCTTGTTAACTCTGTCCAAGACAACCCAGTGCTTTATAACCGTCCAAATTCTATTTACCTTTCAAGTAGAGATCTCATCTTCATTATGAAATCTTCTTCTACTAGTCCAAAATATACTGATCTCTTCATTGCTAAATTTTCATATCCCTTGTATTAAATAGTCTAAAGTAGTGTTTCTCAAATTATGTGCGGTGAGATACCATTTTATTTATTATCTTTTTTCTTTTGATTTTTCTTTTTTTCTTCTTTTTTCCAACAGGGCAGACTGTCTCAAGTGGGATACCATTTAAAAAATTTTCTAATCCATCATGGACTGACACTTTTACAAAATGAAATTAAAATGATTACCAGAAATTTTTATAAAAACATGTAAAATATAAGCAAAATTTTAACAGATATAAAATTACTGTGTCAAATTCCTATACAAGTTTCTACTGCTTATTCTCAATTTCTGTATTTATATTCCAAAAAAAAGGGTGTAACAGATAGCTCATGGACCGACACTTTGATTAGCACAAGATAATTCAGGACTTCAGTCAATAAACATTTACTATGCACTCAGCGTGAACTCTTCACTATGCTAGACACTATAGGGTAATCAAAAAGGTGTATTGCTCAAGCTTTTCCTTTAAGTAGTCTGTACTTTGTAAGAAAGAACACTAAGAAGTGTGAAACAATAATAAATACGGATAAATAAGCTTTGTTGCTGATCAGAGGAAGAAAATCATGCAAATCTGAAATAGTCAGGACAGACAACTTGGAAAAAAACTGAAATCTGAATTCAACATTTATGTTTAAATAGGACTCCAATATAGAAAAGATGGTAACTCTGGAGAGTAGAGACCACATGTACAAAGGCTCAAGATGAAAACGGCCTGTTGGTAACACAATAAACTGAGCAGCTCTCAGTGGAAGGGCAAGCACTGATAGGCAGAGTGTTGAAAGCCAGAGTTTCCACAGGGAAATACGAGCAAAGAAAAATCATTGAAAGTTTCTAAAGAATTACTATGACAGAATCAGTGTTCTAGAAAGGTAAGCCAATTGGAGTAAGAATTCTTCAGTTGCAGGGATTATATGTCCTATCTTTTTACATTTCCTCCAGAACCTAGAGAAGAGAAGTCTTCAGCCCATGGTGGATATAAAATGTATCTTGTTCAAGCAGCACATAGTAAAAAAAAATTAAAAAAATAAGATTACCTCTATTACAGGTACTAATTAAAGGTATTCCATATTCGCTTCAACTGACTCCTGAAACTTAAAATAAAAAAACAATATATAGATACTTAAGTCAGTATAACAGTAAAGAGAACTCAGCTAGGAAAAAGATGATCACTGGCCATCAAGAAATTTCAAAACAATTCTGAAAGAAAAAAGGAGACAGGAGTGTATTGACAACTGAAGCAGAACATAACACACTTGGAGGAAGCTGCAACTGGCATGAAGGCTGATCTGCCCAGTGAAACCTTACAGAAATTCTAGGCTCAGAGGCACTTGAGGAACTATCTCTAAGGGACATTAGAAAAGAAATTAATTAAAGATTTGAATATAGAAAAACTGCACCAACCAAATCCACCTTCTTCTTCTATCTCCACCCACCACAAATATAAGGCAACTAGTGTTTACCACCAGCCAAAAATAATGCTAAACGAAGAAGTCTCCTTTGTGGCAAAACTATTTCCCAGACCCTCTTACATCTAGGTAAGACTACACGTCTTGTTTTAGCCAATGGAACGTAAATAAAAGTAATATGTCATTTCCTTACCATAGCAATTAAGAAGTACCTTCTCCATTCTCTCTTCCTCTTCCATTAGCAGGAGACAGAGAATCACAAGGCATTTTAAGGATGGTAGAACCATAAGACAGAAGGAATTTGAGTCACTGAATTATCGCATGAAAGAAAGCTGCCTGGTGAGAAGAACCCCTTTATTGGACTGTTAAAGGAATAAAAAAATAACCTGTTATCTTGTTAAATCATCGAAATTTTCAGGTTTACTTGTTATACCAACTAGCATCCTTATTAATTAGAGCCCTTCTCTGAAAAGGAAGGAAAGGAAAATTATATTTGGCAAAGCAAGTCACAAGACCAAATCCAAATCAGTGATCAAGGGAAAAAGTGTACTCTTTCCACGTAGGTGGGTGAGGGGAGGAAAAACTGAATTATTTGCTGAAAAGTTAATCTACTATAATCCCCTGTTGTAGACAAAAGATCGTAATTACTATGTAACAAAAGCTGATTAATTTAAGAACCAAGAGGAAAACTAAATATTATATATAACTATCAAATATTGGTAGGAAGATGGGAGAGGGAAGGGGAGAAATATAATTGAAATCTTAATTTTTTTATAAAAGGGGGTAAACAGATAATGTTTAATCTATCAAAAAGAATAAATAAAAGCATATAATTTAAAGTTACCTAAAGAACCAAACACCAAGCCAGGCACGGTGGCTCACACCTGTAATACTAGCACTCTGGGAGGCTGAGGCGGGAGATTCGATTCAGGTCAGGAGCTCGAGACAAGCTTGAGCAAAAGCAACATCCTGTCTCTACCAAAAAGAGAAAAAATTATCCGGGCATGGTGGTGTGTGTCTGTAGTCCCAGCTACTCAGGAGCCTAAGGCAGGAGGATCGCTTCAGCCTAGAAGTTTGACGTCACAGTTAGCTATAATGTCATCACTGCCTAGCCAGGGTGACAGAGATTATGTCTCAAAAAAGAAAGAAAAAAGAACCAAATAATAAATGGTTCAAAATGTTTGTTTCTGGGAAAAGTCTCACAGTGGAAGGCATGCTGCTCATCAAAAGTGTTTTTGTACTACATTTTTTTGTTACTGATCCAGGAAAGTAGACCCCAAAACTGGGGTCTGTTTGAAGGTCGAATGGGTTCTTGGCTTCTCACAGGAAAGAATTCAAGAGCAAGCCAACGGAGTATGTCTATTAAAGTAAGAAAATAGAAAAAAAAGGAGGCTACTCCATAGACAGGGCAGCAGCTACCTCTCATAGCAACAGAGAGTAGTACTTTGTGAGTTTCTGGTGTCTTATTTTTATACCTTCTATTTAATTATATTAAGCAGAGTGAGGATTCGTCATAAGATTTCTGGGAAAGGGGTGAGAGTTCCTCTAGAACAGAAGGTCCCTTCCCCTTTCTAAACCACATAGGGCAACTTTCTGGAGTTGCCATGGCATTTGTAAACTGTCATGGCCCTAGTTTCTTTTAGCATGTTAATATATTCTATCTAACATATACTGAACAGTGAGGGTAAACTGAGGTGCTTTTTCGTGGCCATCTGGGATCTAGCTGGTTTGGGCTGGTTTCTCCCCCTGTCTGTCTCCTGTTTTATCGGAGACTTTGGATCTAGTCTCAAGGCTCCTTATCAAGCAGAACCTGTTGTTTCCCTATCTTGTTACCATATTCATGTATTACTCTGATTTTTGTAAAATGTAATAAATTTCCACTAGAAACTTCTTGCTTAAGGGCTATATTTTAGAAATGTGAAAATTTTCCTACATAAACTGAATCCTATGGGAGAAACTCTGTAACCTTCAAGTGAATGGAAAATTTGTTATATTTTCCTTGTGATGTGAAAGTATGATTCCTCTCTTAAAATTCAATATAAAGAAGTGGTTCACATTCCCAGATAATCCAGTTAAGACCTGATAAATGTAAAAATTTTAAGTTTACTTAATACATTGTGAGTTATTAAAATCCCCAATTTGAAAGAATTTATTTATAAAATTTGATACTTAAGAGATCTGCTGCTATTTACAACATAAGGAATTGACGTGAATACATTCCACTGAAGAATGTCTATGTACTCTGCAACAAAAGGAAAGCAGAAGACAAACACTAATATATAGTCACATAGGATGATAATTAGCCTAGACTAGGGATAAAAAACATAAATTTTTCAGGTCACCAATTATTTCCAAGCATAGCAGATATCACAAATCAAATATAATACTCTTTCCAGTAAACAAGGGACAACCTCAAAATCCTTCTCAACAAAGTACTCCTCAGCCTCCAAAACTGATGAAATTCTGCAATGAGAATATTGCAGTAATTTACCATGAAGGATACATCTCTTCATAACAAAGCCTTATGGTTATTCAGCCAGTATGACCTGAAAATTTTGATGGATATCCTAAGACTAAGGGAAGCCAAAAGACTATCTGAAGACTTTTCAACAACTACCTAAAAGGTTAGTTGTCAGCTTAGGACATTTTTGTTCAATATAGAATTCTAGGCATCTCTGCTTAAAAAGTCATTAAGCCCTGGTATCTACTGTACCAGATAGATTTCAGAGTGTTTGCTGGCCCACACTCTGTTTTAAAGAAAGCTCCTTCTTCTCTTCACTAATCCCCACATCCATCTGTCTAAAGCATCCAGCACATTACCCCATCCCTCTAAATTCAGTTAATTGGATTAGGACAAGAACATTTGGCCTTAAAGCAGCCAATCAACAGTAATGTCATCAACTAATGATTTGTGGCCTACCTTTCAAAAATAACCCATTCAGATTTTCTCAGGAATTTCAACTGGAGACAGAGAAAAAAACTGCAAATGAAAGTAGATATGCAATAGATACAGAAAAAGCTTTTGACAAAATTCAACACCCTTTCATGATATGAACACTTAAGAAAACAGGCATAAGGACAATACCTAAAAATGATACAAGCCATATAGACAGACCCATAGCCAACATCATACTGAATGGGGAAAAACTGAAAGCATTCCCACTTGGAACTGGAACCAGACAAGGCTGCCCACTATCTCCACTTCTATTCAACATAGTGCTGGAATCCTGGCTACAGCAATCAGACAGGAAAGGGAATTAAAGGTATCCAAATAGGGGTAGAAGAGATCAAACTTTCACTGTTTGCTGATGATATGATATTATATTTAGAAAACCCAAAAAGATTCAACCAAGAACTCCTGGAACTGATCAATGAATTTAGTAAAGTCTCAGGATACAAATCAATACACAGAAATCAAGCATTCGATAACGCCAACACAACCAAATTAGACCAAATAAAGACCCATACCTCTTCAAAGCAACAAAGAAATTAAAGTACCAGGAGTATACTTAACCAAGGAGGTAAAAGACCTCAACAGGGAACTATGAAACGAAGAAGGAAATGCAGAGGATGTAAACAGATGAATCAATTTCCATGCTCTGATGATCGGCAGACTCAACATCATTAAAAAATGTCTATACTACCAAACTATCTACAGATTCAATCATACCTATTAATCCCATCAGCATTCTCACCAGATAGGTAAAAAATAATTTTACCTTTGTATGGAACCAAAGAGACCCCAAAAATCCAAGAGCCAATTTTAGGCAACAAAAAAAAATGGAGGTATAATATGCCAGATATAAAAACTATTACTACAAAGCGTGTAGTAATTTAAACAATCTGGTATTGGCACAAAATAGAATATGTACAGTGGAACAGATTGAGAATCCTGATATAAAACCATCCTCATATAGCCCATCTAATCTTGTGACAAAGCAGAGAAAAACATACGCGGGCAAAAGAATCCCTTTCAATAGAATGGTGCTGAGAAACGATTAGCCACTTAGTTAAAGGCTAAGCAGACCCACACCTTTCACCTCTCACAAAATCAACTCCGCGGATAACAGATTAAACCTAAGGATAAACCTATTAAAATGTCTAGAGGAAAATGTTGAAACAGTCCTCCTAGACATCGCCTAGGCAAAGATTTATGAAGAAGTCCCCAAATGACAATCAAAGCACGAAACAAAAATAAATAAATGGGACATAGTGAAACTAAAAAGCTTTGCACCAGCCAACAGAAACAGGTTCCATGAAGTAAACAGAACAACCACAAATGGAGAAAATTTTTGCATCCTACGGTATCCGATAAAGGGCTAAAACGAATATACCTTAGAACTCAACGAAATCAGAAGAAAAATGAAATAACCCTATTAAAAAGTGGGCAGGACTTGAACAGAATCTTTCTAAAGAAGACAGAAAATGCGCCAACAAATATATGAAAAATCTCATCATCGTCTCTAATCATCCAGGGAAATGCCAATCAAAACTACAATGAGAATACCACATTTTTTTTTTACCCCAGTGAGAATGGTCTTTATCAAAAAGTGCTCCAAATACAAACGCTGGCTGTGCAAGAAGAGGAACCCCTAACACTTGCTGGTGGACTGCAAGCTAGTCAACCTCTGTGGAAAGCAATATGGAGATACCTAAGCGATAAACAAGTGAATCTACCCATTTGATCCAGCCAATCCCATTGCTGGCATCTACCCAAAGATCCAATGACACCTACAAAAAAACACTGCCAGTCGAGTGTTATAGCAGCACATTCATAAATGCAAGGCTGTGAAACAGCCCAAGTGCCCATCAATCCCAAGAATAGATTAATAAATGTGTACTATGATACATGGAAGTACTAATCAGCTCTAAGAAATGGTGACATAGCACATCTTATATTTTCCTGGTTGAGCTGACCATACTACTGAAGTGAAGTGTCAAGATACAACAATGATTCCAGCATGGCTTCACACAACTGTTTACCTGAGTGCCCTAAGTGACACCAGGTACTGACTGAGTATAGGGTATTGGGCAGGGGTGAAGGGTGTATTACCATCATATGAGTGAGATGTCACCATCTCGGGGATGGTCCATGCTGGAAACTCAGACCTTTCGGCGGAGGGCTTTCATGACCTTCACAAACTGTACCACCTTGCCGAAAAAAAAAAGAAAGAGATCTAGGTCATGTAGACTAGTAGTGAGGACCAGCAGTATGGGGCCCTATGCAAAATGAATAAGCAAAAGAAGCCTGTTGAGAAAGAAGAAAAGAGAGACTATGATACTTTTAGAGATGAAGAGAGTAAAACTACCTGCTTTTAGTTTCCAGCCGTGAACTCAGCCATGTTTATGCAACCTGTGAACCTCAACATTCCTATACTATCGTTTAAAAAGCAGGCGCCGCAAGCGCAGATGAGGCAGAAGAGAGCGAAAGGAAGGAAAAAGAAGGGAGGAGGAAGAAATACTTATTGCCAATCATTCTGATGGCCTCTCTCCCATGAGCGCCATCGCAACATCAAGGTATACTACAACTCCCAACCAGATAATTAAAATCAGCCAATTACTGACTTTAACTAGAAGTTAAGAACCTTTCAATAATGCATCGCAAAGACAGCTAAATTCAAAGCTTTAAGTAATTTTAGCAACTCAATCCCTCCTCTAAGCAAAAATCAGCAATAAGATGATACTTCGTTAAACCTCGTCCTTATTTTACTTTTTAAGTTATTTTTTAGCACCCTCTTGGAGAACAACCTTATTTATTTTTTCTTTAGACCCTGAAAGAGATGGGTGAAAAAAATAGCTCTGGAAGTGGACTTAAATTGCAGGAATTAGCTAGCAGGCTTAGCTATGAGAACAAAAAGTGACTTCAGCCCATAGGTTTTAGAGCTTTAATAAAGAATCTGTAATATGGTGTCCTAAAGACTAACTCTGGTTATGC